ATAAGTATTTTTCATAAACCAAAATTATACTCAAACTCAAGTGCCCAGTGCAAAGAAACATTAAATTAGTAAACTAAAAAATGCTTAAAAGCCTTTTAAAGAACAGTTTTCAAATTAATAAATATCCTTTCCACTTCAACTTCTGTTCTAAAAGAAGGGTGCCTTGGGGCACCTGGGTGGCTCAGTTGGTTGAGAATCTGCCTTTGGCTCTGCTCATGATCTGGGTCCTGGGATCAGGCCCTGTGTATGGCTCCTTGCTCAGTGGGGAGCCTGCTTCTCCCTCTCCCTCTGCCACTCCCCCTGCTTGTGCTCCTCTCTCTCTGTGTCAAATAAATAAAATCTTTAAAAAATAATAAAAATAAAAAATAAAAGAAAGGTGCCTGGGTGGCTCAGTTGGTTAAGTGTCTGCCTTTGGCTCAGGTTATGATCCCGGGGTCCTGGGATTGAGCCCTGTATCAGGCTCCCTGCTCAGTGGGGAGCCTGCTTCTTCTCCCTCTGTTGCTCCCCCTGCTTGTGCTCTCTCTCTCTCTCAAATAAATAAATTTAAGAAAAATTAAAAGCCTTTAATAAATTTAAAGTCATATTTTATCTCTTAATTACTACTTGGCAGGATATGAATAAAAGTAAATATCCATTGATCAAAAATGTTCAGTTAAGAAACATACACTCTTTTTATCTGCTGTAGTGATCTCTAACCAGTGTCCTTTCTTGGTTCTTTTTTCAATGTCCTACTATGAAATTTAGACACTCCTCCAAATTCAGGGCTCAGTCCTCTTCTGTTACCACTTTATACTCTTTCCTTAATAAATTCAGAATTCCCAGGGCGCCTGGGTGGCTCAGTTGTTAAGCATCTGCCTTCGGCTCAGGTCATGATCCCAGGGCCCTGGGATTGAGCTCCGCATCAGGCTCCCTGCTCCACGGGAAGCCTGCTTCTCCCTTTCCCACTCCCCCTGCTTGTGTTCCCTCTCTTTCTGTGTCTCTCTCTGGCAAATAAATAAATAAATAAATCTTTAAGAAAATAAAAATAAATTCAGAATTCCCACAAATTTGGCTTTCATTTCTGAGTATAATCCTTAAACTTTTCCTGACTTTTCTTAAGATCTGCACCTATAATTCTAGCATTCTACTGGAAATCTCCACATGATTATCCCACAGGTGCCTCAAACTCTGCGTGTCTAAAACACAACTTCTCATCCTCCCCACACTTAGTTTATGGCATTACTACTGTAACCTAATTAGTAGCTGCAGAGTCTCTCTAGAGACAGTGATATGGCCCGTAGAGGACATGTTCCAAGGAAGGCATTTAGGGATGACACAGAAGTATGCCTAGGCACAATCCATTCCAAACAAAAGGAATATGTCTCTCCATTCTACTCCCACTGCTTTTTCCCAAATTCAGGCCTTCACCTCTCTTTTGGAGTTTTAAAGCAACTTCCTGACTAATCTCCTTATTTCTGGTCGTCCTCCTTTGGTGCATAATATAGATTCACACCAATTACATTTCTGAAATATAGCTGTGAACATTTCACTTCCTGAACTGTAAGCTCCTGAAAGAAAGGAAACATGTTTATTTGTTTTCAGATTCCTGGTATCCAGCACAGCGCCAAGTATATAGTAGATTCTTGATAAATATGTGTTGTTAAATTGAATTTTCTTACTCAAAAGACCTTCCGTAGCTTCCTACTTCATTCAAAAGAGATCAAATTCAACTGGATTCAAACTTCATGATTTGGCCCCTAGTAATTCTTCCTTTAGCATCATTCTACTCACCATTTCCTGAATATGTCCACGCTATCACAGTTCAGCCAATGCACAAACATGTCATCCCAGCCTGTCTCCCCCTTTCTCTTACTGCTATCCTTTAGAGTTCTGTCTTTTGTTGCCCAGCTCAAACACTACCTCCTTTAAGAAATGTGCCCCAAGTATGCCCTCAGGATAAATCTCTCCTCCCATTCTCGCAAGAGCACTTCATACCTTTATTGTAGCATGACGTATTCATGCATATACCTTCCACGCCGGGGGGGGTAAGAACCAGACCCTTTTTCTTTGAAAAATGTGTAGCATCCAGCACAGTGCTTTGTACACAGTAAAAATGTTCAACAAACATCTACTGAATAGAATTAAATCAAAGTACAACCTGTTAAGAAAATTAACAAATGATCTATTTGAAATAGAATCCTGATCATTTTGATCCTGTGAGGCATATTAAACATTGAAATAAAATTCTTAGAAAAGTTACCAATGAATGGCAAATTAAGTTTATTTCCTTTACCCATTCAAGTGTGGTTTCACCACTTAACCAACCTCTTTTCAGCTAATGGTAAGCAGTTATATGCAAAATATACTTCAGAGAATTATTTTATTCCTCTATATATGGGTTATGTGATATTAGTGAGCGATACTATATTCAGGTACAGTGATATGGCCCATAGAGGACATGTTCCAAGGAAGGCATTTAGGGGTGACACAGGAAGTATGCCTAGGCACAATCCATTCCAAACAAAAGTCTGCTCCCACCTGGATCAAACTATTCCAAAAGCTTTTCAAGTTATACATAATAATCTTAAAAGTAGGTCAGTTTTTCCATAGAATCTGAGAAACAAATACCAATTTGCTCTGTTATCAATGTCAGCAGTACTCAAGCCTCCTATTCTCCTGACTTGATGACATTACCACATTAAAGGGGGTTCCCTAAACTCATATTATTTTAGAGTATATTGTTGCTTTACTTACTTACTTATCACATCAGTATGGATTTTTTAAAAAACTTTTTCAGGCATCTGAAGAGCCTAGCCATAAAGGAAGCATTAGGAAGTTTAAGTACATTTTCTTAAACTAAAAGAAAATACTGCTAGTAGTGTTATATTTTATTCTAATGTCAAAAACAGTTCTATAAATTTTTTATAAACTCCTTTTGTAGAAAAATGCATAGATAAACATATATGCAAAGCTTTGAAAATAATGTTAGGGGGTTCCTGAATCTCCCCAAATCTAACCATGACTCCAGAATCCTTGCCCTAATAAATTAAGGTAATATTCATTACCATCACCATAAAATTGTGCCATTTTATATTTAAATAAAACTGTCAGATCTTCTGGGGTGCCTGGGTAGCTCAGTCATAAAGCATCTGCTTCAGCTCAGGTCATAATCCCAGGGTCCTGGGATCGAGCCCCACATCAGGCTCCCTGCTCCGCAGGAAGCATGCTTCTCCCTCTCCCACTCCCCCTGCTTGTGTTCCCTCTCTCGCTGTGTCTCTCTCTGTCAAATAAATAAATAAAATCTTTAAAAAAAAAAAAAGTATAGGGGCGCCTGGGTGGCTCAGTCGTTAAGCGTCTGCCTTCGGCTCAGGTCATGATCCCAGGGTCCTGGGATCAAGACCACATCAGGCTCCCTGCTCCGCAGGAAGCATGCTTCTCCCTCTCCCACTCCCCCTGCTTGTGTTCCTGCCCTTGCTATCTCTCTCTCTCTGTCAAATAAATAAATAAAATCTTAAAAAAAAAAAAAGTGCATTGTGACTCGCTGCTGCTTAATACTTATTAGTATTAGAGAGCTAGAATTAGAGAAATAATATTTATGGAGGATTGCTTGAGATATATTCACCTTTAAGTACTCTTACAGTCTACCCTAGGATAAGGTGAGACCATTAAGAACCATGTACTTGGGCTGAATAATTTTTACTCCTCAAAGAAGTACTTTCACCAAATCAAACTTGGACATTGCTATTTGGCTACCTTGAGGAATACTATGAAAGTAAAATCCTCGTTGGAAAACGAACTTCTTAAGCCCTACATACCAAGCCATAAGGAATAACCTAGCCACCTTGGACATTTTTAGTGGAGAGATTTCTCACTCCTCTAAACCTCTCAAAATCAAAGAGTTAGTTAGTTTGTCCTCTTTTCTTTTTCTCTGCATAGTGTCAGAGAAAGAAAGGTCCATGGGGGTCTGGCTGTCTGCCCTGCTGCCTTCCAGAATTCTGTATTTTTCTCCCAGTTTCTAGTTTGCTACCTCTCCCAAGCTAGCAAGTTAATGAGTTTCAAGATTAAAGGTATAGAGTTTCACTTCTGAGCTTTAACCCAGAAATAAATTCAGTATTGTGTAATGGATATTATAGCAACAATATGTACTATGGCACAAAGGATGGAGACTGTTAACTTAAAGCTGAATATTTGTTTAAAAACAAGTAGGAGTTTGCCAAATAAATAAAGTGTAAAAGGGTCTTATAAGCAGAATTGAGAGCCCAGAAGAATGACCCAGTGGGTGTGCTGCATATAGCTAAATCGAAGAGTATAAGGTAGAAAGGAATAGGAACTAAGCCTGAAGACATAACAAAGAGACAAATCATGAATAGCCTTTTAAACTGCACAAAAGAGTTCAGACCTTATTCTGTAGATGATAAGGAGCTATTGAAACAGGGATGCTACTGGATTAGGCTTCTCTTTCAGAAGATTAGGTCTAGAGAATCAGGAAGAGCTTTTAGGCAGAAATCCCTGGGAAAGTCTAGATTTATTGAATATGAACTTGCAGGGATTGGTCTCAGGATTCTGTGTTTAGAAACTGCTTTAGTGAGTCTGAATTTAGGCTCTGCTGTTTTAGCAGCTATATAAGTGAATTATGCATAAATATCATGGATTTTATCCCAAGAGTTTATAGACTAATGAGATTGTCATATACATAAATAAGAAATCAAGTACAAAAGCTTTATAGATAAAATACCAAGAAAATTCCAGTGAAGTGGCATTTCCATACGACTTGCATGTAAGTGTAGATCAAGCCAGAAGGCAGGAAAAGATGGGATATATTCAGAGGATATATAGAGTATGTCATTATGTAGCTTAAAAGAAGACATTTGGTACATATTTTTCAGCTTCACTCAGTTTAAAGGTTTTCATTAGTCAATATCTTTGATCAAAATCGGAAAACGATTAACTCTGTTATGACTCATGGAGTTTCTCAAAGAACAAAAAGATATGCCTTTCCCCCCTGCTTTTGTTTTTAACAGGATATTTGTCAAATGCAAAAGATATCTACAGAAGCATTTTAGGCTCCTATTTGGATGACATTTGGAGACAGCTGGAGATTGTACAGTTTATTAGGGAAAAAAAGCCTGAAACCAACTACAAGATACAAGAACTGCAATGTCAGATACTAAATTGGATGCAAAGTGAGCAACAGATTAAGGTAAATGCTGGAATAAAGCAGATAACGGTAATCAGCTTAAACAAGAATTGTATGTAAGAAATTTTTGCATTTAACTCAGAAATTATGAAATAGTCTAGACTATTTGGTCCCTTGATGGTTTTCTCCTTAAGTAAGTTAACAAAACAGAATCAGACACAGAGAAAGGATGATTTGCATCATTGTTCATGTATCTTGAATTTAAAAATACTTTAATTTTTATTATACGCAGTTTTCTATGGATTGGCTCTCCAAATTTCAAAACTGTTGTCTGGTACATCTAAGTTCCTGAACATATACCAAATAACAGAACTACAATAATTTATTTTTAATATTAAGCCAGAATCTCATCTTATATGATTCTATAAAAAAAAAAAAAAAGCATTTAGCTTATGCTTTGGATTATATTGGAAATTTTTGTCCACCCTACCTCAAGCGTATGAAGGTTACATTGATAAAGACTTAAGAGGAAATACTTTCTTAAATGTTTTCAAACCAGAAAACTTTTCAAGTGCTTTACGCTAAATCTGGATATAAATTTGGCCTTTTTCTTCTTTTTTTCTTTGTCCCTCCTGTGTCTTTATCTCCAACTCTGTGGTTACTTAGATAACTTGCTTGTCGTTAAAATAAAGTAAAATAATCAGTAAGAAATTTAAGAATTGGAATTTATTTGTTGTCCTCTCCCCGCCACCACCAAAAAAAGCTATAATGATAACTAGGAAAGTATAGCAACAAATCATTGGTTTTTTTTCCAATCAATTCAAACTTGTCTGGGTTGAATTTACGCTAACAATGCAGGTAGAGACAATTTATGTATACAGTCACCCATATGGGAGTACACGGATGCTAAGAATGCCCCACTTCAGAATATTTTCCTCATTGATATTTGATCTTACCAGAATTTATTCCTTTGTGTTTAAGCACTGACATCTTTTACAGCACAAATATTTACTTGGTAATCTTTTTGCCAATAGTTTCATGTAACCAATCAAGCTTGTTATTTTGTCACAGTAGCAAAACTATGAAAAAGAATAATTCAGAGATATATGAAATTCTTATTTTTGATCAGGTGCTGATTATAGTAAGAATGGACTCAGATGGTGAAAAACATTTACTCATTAAAATCCTTAACAAAATGGAAGGTAGGGAGTTTTAAATTATGCTTCATTTGATAACAGATGTTTGGAACATATAAAAATGTAGTGATCTAAGTTTTTAAATTAAGATATAATAATGAAATTCATTCTTTAAAAGTATATAACTCAGTGGAATCTAACCAGTTTTTAAATAAATCTGGACTTTAGGTGTGCAATATAAATATCCTATAATGTACTTATATGTACATTATATGTACTTTTGTGTATATTATTATCAATTGACACATTTTATTGATTGACTACTAGTTGCTAAATGATTCTGTATATTACAACAACTCTATAAATCAGTTTTACAAATAAAGAAACTAAAGTTCATAAAGGTGTTGTAACATGCCGCACCTCACAGGTGGTAAGTGAGGGACTCAGGATTTGAACCAAGGTCTGTCTTGTTCTAGTGTCATTCTTCAACTCTTCTACCAACTATTGCCCCCTCTGCCAACCCTTTCCACCCTGTGCCATGGAACCCCTTGCTTATATGTAAACTATTTTCCTTTTTTTATCTCCTTGTCTTAAGTGAACCCAGCTTTTCGCAGATGATACAGCTTCCCCTGTATCCCTTTCATATAGAAGCTGATAATTCTCTCCCTCTTATATATGATATATATATCATAGGATTGAAAGGGCCATTTCTTGCTTTTCATTATCCTTTCCAAAATATTATTATTTCTCTATCCTCTGAGGCTAGGCCATATTGCTACACCATTCGCTACGACTCCATATTGCCATCATCTAGTAGCCACTCAAACATTCCCCATCATCCATGGACAGTTGTGCACCTGGTTCATGGTATTCTTTTCACTCCTAGTCCTGCCATTATCCTAGGTGTCTTTAATGTGAATGGCTCATTCAGTACCCTGACCTTATAGTTTCATTGGCCTCCACAGGAGAAATGATATTCACTCCTTGGCTATGCCATTAACCTTGTAATAATGCAGAGCTGTGCTACTTCTGAACTTTAAACTCTGACACACTGCTCTCTGTCCACAGCTATCTTACCTCTTCCATGATGTTCAACAACTTAGAGATCTGTAATCAATCAACTCCTTTTTTGTTTCACATTTTTCTCTTTCCAGGCTTGGTGATGTGCCCATGACTTTAATCAGTCTTGTCCTTCTACTGTACCTTCCATTTAAATCTCAGCTCTGAATCCATCAAGACGTTTAACCTCTCTGTTCCTATACCTGAGCTCCTGAGCATTATTAGAGAAAATCAGATAGTTTAGTACCACTACAAACTTAACTTCTCTGACCTTGTATGGGCTCTCAATACCTCTTTTTTTTTTTTTAATGTTTTATTTATTTATTCATGAAAGTCAGAGAGAGAGGGAGAGAGACAGAGGCAGAGGGAGAAGCAGGCTCCCCGCCTAGCAGGGAGCCCAATGCGGGACTCGATCCCAGAACCCCGGGACCATGACCTGAGCTGAAGGCAGACGCTCAACCATCTGAGCCACCCAGGTGCCCCGGCTCTCAATATCTCTTAACAACCTTTCATCTTACAACCTTACCATCTACAAACTTACCTTCATTTCTTTTATTCTTTTATCTTTTCCTCCTTTCTTTATAAGGGAGGTAAACCTCCTCCCTTCGAAAAACAATTTCTCACTTCTGCTTTAGATCCCATCTCTTCCCGCATCAGTGTGTTCCCATCAGTTATTTCCTCGCCCAACCTTCCTCTCCAGTGACTCTCCCTTAATCTTTAAGCACTCCAGTATTAAAAATAAAATACCATCCTCAACCTATGTCACCCTTTGTTTACTATTTCTCTTCCCTCCATAAATTGCATCTTTGGCCATCTCCAAATATATCTTTGCTGTAACCCTACCAAACTGTTTATCATGCTATTTCTCATCTCCATGCCTTTACACCTCCTGTTTCTGCTACATAGTGCTCTTCTCCCTTCTTTAGCAGCTAACTCCTACACATCCTTTAAAAATTAGTTAAAACAGGACCGCTTCGGACCTCCACCAGAGTTTCCTCTGGCTTCGCATTTGTTCAGGAAGCCTTGATTTAAATGCTTTCCCTAGGGCGCCTGGGTGGCTCAGTTGGTTAAGCAACTGCCTTTGGCTCAGGTCATGGTCCCGGAGTCCTGGGATCGAGTCGCACATTGGGCTCCCAGCTCAGCGGGGAGCCTGCTTCTCCCTCTGACCCTCTCCCCTCCCATGCTGTTTCTCTCTCTCAAATAAATAAATAAATAAAATCTTTAAAAAAATGAATGAATGAATGAATAAATAAATAAATAAATGCTTTCCCTTGTGCTCTTAGTGTATTATGTGCATACTTCTAAGGCCCTACTTACCATCCTAGGCTATAACAACTGAGATTCTATTGTCTGTTTTCCTCACTAGCATGTCACTTTCTGGAGGGTAAGGACCATGCCCTAATTTGTATTACCAGCATCCACAAAAATGCCTGGAATATAGCAGGGACTTTATGTAAATGAATTGAATAACTGAACTAATGAATGCCTCTCTGTATACCTAGTAGACTGAGACTAGTGAAAAAGATTGAACTGAACTATATACAAATATTACAAACGTCTGCTTATCAGTGCACTTAGCAAAATTAACTATTAAATTATAGCAATGTGAGAATGGAAGACTTTTTGCAGTCGAACTTTATAAGGTGCTATTTCTAGACATTATCATGTGTCTAGAGTCCAGATTTGCCAGCCTGGATCTTATTATTTCATCCAGTTTTCCGGGCCTGGGAAGATGAGGTTTTATCCACCAAATTCACAAGATTTTACTAGTACCAAAATGTTAAAGTAGTAGTTAACAATTGTGAGGCTGTACTTGCCACACCTGTCTGGAATCAGGGTAACTGAAAACTTTTTTTTTTTAATTAGGAAAGTGCTGAGCAATGTAGCATTAAGAAACAGGAATTTGGGTAACTGAGGTAATACTTTTGTGAAGAGGCTGAGGAAATATGCCTGCCCCACAGAGAAGAATACTTAGACCTACTTAATGGGGCATCTTTTCCTTTGATGTGCTTAAGACACATGGACAAATTATTATTGTATATATTACTTCTTATATAGGCTTCATGCTGAACATTCTATTTCTTTCGGCTTTGGGGATTATATCATCACTACTCTGCTATTTTATTTCAACAAGGTTGAAACTGACACAAAAATATTTGACTCTCTAAGCTGAAAAAAAAATGTGTTTCCTATCTTTTAACAAGCAGCTATCCTCTGTGTCTAGGAGTGAGGCCTTTTTTTTCTGTCTAGGGTTAGAAAGTAGAAATGTGGTTTCATCTTCTCTGCTTGCAAGATCCTAGTAATGCATTTAGCAAGTAATCTGCTTTGAGATTACAGCTAAAACAAATCAGCTAAAGAGATTAAGTTTTAAATAGTATGAGCTTGGGGTACCTGACTGGTTCAGTCGGTGGACCATGCGACTCTTGATCTGAGCATTGTGAGTTTGAACCCCACGTTGGGTGTAGAGATTGCTTAAAAATAAAATCTTTTAAAATAATAATAATAATATGACTTTATAAATTTATATACAAAAGAGAAATACTACTCATCCTCTTCTTATTGCTACCAAAACTATTGTCATATCAAGCCAAGTAAACATTAAATTATTAAGCATTACTCTGTCATTATCACATCATGCCTTTGTCAACTTTACAACTGACAAACATACACCAATCGAGAGTAAAATTTATTTTAACTAGAATCAGTTATTCTTAAACCAGTGATGTCTACCAAAAATAAACTATATGTGTGGCTACAGAATTTTTTGAAATCTATTTTGTTAAAAAATCGGTAACATAAGAAACTTAAATTACAATTAAGAAGCAGAAGTGACTCTAAGGAGCAGATGGCACCCAGTAGGTCTTCTACTTCTTATACAGCCAGTAGAAGGGAAAAAACAACATCAAAATGTAGTCACTTGCTATTTAGTTATGTACTTAAATTTTTGACTAGAGAAAAAAGGTAAAATCAACCATGATTTTTAGCAAAGTAAAATTAAATGCACAGAATTGATGAGTGTTTAATTTGGCTACTTTAAAATTAAGATTTTGATACATTTTATTATTTTACATAATAAATTCAGAATTTCCATGCTTATACATATAAAACATATACACACAACAGAAATATTGCCCATGCTTCAAACTTTCGGACACCCACAGACAGAAAAATAATCCAGCAAATTGTATTTTAAGCAGTTTCCTTGTTCAAGGTCTTCAGTTCATTTTTTATGATAGTGAAATATATGAACACCTAAAAATTATATATGAACAAAACACTGAAAAACACTTTTTGTATTACTCTTTTTTTTCCCAACAGGTTTAACATTGACTGTCTTACATTCAAACAGAAGGAAAGATTTTGTGGAATCTGAAGGTGTTTTAAATGGGTAAAAATGTATTTCTTCACCTATGGGGAATAAGCATACCAGTTCCACAGGAAAAGCACAATTTCTCCTGGAATTTAACTTTTTAAAAGGTTTAATAAAACCTGAAATGAATCAATGTATCTCTCCTCTTCCTGAAAAGTGTTTTACATTAGAATACTTGAACTCAGGTCATTGCCTTGTGTATTATCTATTATTGTTGTCCAGAATTTTAGTTCAGTCTTGCTTTAATATCCCCAACTTACCATTATCAGTGTTACTGTTAGGACAGGAAGTACCCATTTAGATTTACCCTTGTTTATACCAGTTTTGGGTTTTTTTTGCTCAGCATTGTTTCTTATATCTTCTTTCTTTCCTTCTTCCTGAAGTACATTCTTTAGAAATTCTTTTGGTGCGAGCATGCTAATAATAAAATTTAGTGTTGACTTGTCTAAAAATGTTTTTATTTTGCCTTATTTTATGTAGAAATTTTTATTTCTAATATTGGGATCCAGATAATAAAAAGAGAAGTTGTAAATCAAATAGAAGCCCATAAAAGCATTTAACTTATGTCTATTATCTATCTAGATTGCTCTAAATAGAAAGCAGCAGTAGAGAATTTTCATTACAATAAGTGCTATTATATGGAATTTGAAGATAGGAAAGATAAACTTATGATATTTAAGTATCTGTTTTTTGTTGTTGCTAAATCACCTATGAAGCTCATTGAGAAAAAGAAAAATCATTTCAAAGTTGTCAGATAATATTCTCTTATGTAGATCCTCAAAGATGAAACCTCACATGTGTAAGAAAATGAATTCTCACAGTGACTTGTCTGTTATTGATAGGACTCAGTTAATAAAATTAGGGTCCCTTGCATTTGAGAATGTGAAGTAGTCCACAGTTTTTTAGATCCTGTTTTTTTAAAAAATACATGACCATAGGGGCACCTGGCTGGCTCAGTTGGAAGAGCACACAACTCTTGATCTCGGGGTTGTGAGTTTGAGCCCCACATTGGATGTAGAGATGACTTAAAAATAAAATCTTAAAAGGGGCACCTGGGTGGCTCAGTTGGTTAAATGTCTGCCTTTGGCTCAGGTCATGATCCCAGGGTCCTGGGATCAAGCCCCATGTCATCATCGTCATCATCGTCATCATTATCATCATCATCATCCTCATCCCTCATCGTAGGGCTCCCTGCTCAGTGGGGAGCCTGCTTCTCCCTCTGCCCCTTTCCCTTTTGGGCTGGCTCTCTCTCTAGAATAAATAAATAAAATCTTTTTAAAAAATCTTTAAAATTTTTAAAAAAATGGATGACCATCAAAAAGAAAGATAAAAGGGAATTAGCACAATTGGAGAACAAATCAACAGAAAATACATGAGTGCCTTTCCAAGATAAGTAGGCACAGACTAGAGAAGAATAAAATAGCCAAAGACAGTCATCTTTTGGCCTCCCAATAATGACACAAATATAATTCTATTTTCTTGGCTTTATTTTGTTTTCAGTACAAGTTCCTGTGTAGTTGTACATAATCAATATATTGGATCAGATTTCCCCTGGAGTAACTTCTCATTTGTGGTGGAATACAATTTTGTAGAAAACTCTTGTTGGACTAAACACTGCGAGAAATTGAATATTCCTCACAAGGTCTTCAAAGTGATTCTTCCAGACACAGTTTTAAAGAGTAAGGATATAAACTAAATCCTTTTGTTGTAGTAGAATGGAAATTGTTTTCTGCTTCTGATCTGTGGAAAGAGAATGAGCAATGGCATTAGAGGACTTGAGTTCAAACTCTAACCTCAGCACTCCATGTGACCTTGGGCCAGTTCTTTACCCCTTACCTCTCATTCCTCATTTGTAAAGTAAGGTTTACTGGTTATATTTGTCTTCATCCCTTTACCTTCTAAATTTTACTTATAATAGCACAATCTATTACAATTATATCGAATCTTCACCTGATACTTCTATGCAGTAGTATTTTTTATTGAATTTTAGGGGAAAATTCTGTCGTAGTATGTTGACTGATTCAGAAAACTTAATGTGCCAAAAAAAATTATACATAAACACTTCGAAAAGAGTTTAAAACCACTTTGTATATCATTCAGTTTCTTTGTACTTCTCAGCAACACTTCACATGACTCAGGTTGTGAATTCTCACATCCATTAAATTAAAAAGCCTGTACATTTTTAGTCCCAGTGCATCCCTTTCAATACTTGCCTTGAGTTATTTTCTGTCCACCTCAAGTCTGAGTGGGAAGTTTTGAATTCTGAGATATTCCAATTCAATTCTAAAAATACGGTCACCATAATGATTACTTTGGAATCTTTGATATATGAAATTAAATGTTAAATTGATTAAATAAGGGTCCCCCAAAAGATAAAAGATAAATATCCCAGTTTATATGTAGAGGCTCCTTCCATTCTCTCAAAGATGAACTTAATTGGGGACGCCTGGGTGGCTCAGTTGGTTAAGCAACTGCCTTCGGCTCAGGTCATGATCCCAGGGTCCTGGGATCAAGTCCTGCATTGGGCTCCCTGCTTCTCCCTCTGCCTGCCACTCCTCCTGCTTATGCTCTCTCTCTCTCTCTGACAAATAAATAAAATCTTAAAAAAAAAAAAAAGATGAACTTAATTGATTCAACCAATTCCTTATTTGGAGCATTTACAATGCTTCAATTTTCCACTATTGTAATATAAGATTTATAGTAGCTTATATGTCTTATTTATTTTTGTATACTTGTTCTAAGAAGTAAAATGAGTTGCTGGGTCAAAGGTATACATACATTTATATATTGCCAAATATCCTTCCAGAAATGCTATCTCAATTCATATTTGTGCAGAAAGTAAAGAGAATCTTTTCCCCAATATCTTTACTGTAAGTAGGTATTATTATTCTTTTAAATCTTTGACAGAATTATAGGCATAAAATATTTTATAGTTATGTTATAGTTAGTTAATTACAGATAATGTCTTAGATTATCCATATCTTTTCAGATGTGAATTGATCTTGTATAGCCATTCTTTTGTAAATTGCCTATTAATGTTCTTTGTCCATTTATCTATTGATGTATTTATTATTTTCCTATTAACGTATCATAGTAGTTTTAGTAAATTCTGTTAATGCTGTTTTATTTTTAGGTAGTAGGATAACATATGGTTTTTATTTTATTCTTCAGACCTTTCTTTATTCTGATTTCTGATTTTTTACAATGACTATGTTTTATTTTTGTACTACTCCTTGAACATACACTTGCTATTCTCATGTTTAGTAAAAAAGAGAAAGAGCTGAAGGATAAGAAAAAAGAGAAATATTTATAAACTTTCTCTTATTTAGGAAGCACCTTGCTGGATAGTTTTGGTGGATTTCTTTTGGAAATTCAGGTTCCATATGTGTTTTTTGCATCTGAAGGACTTCTTAATACTCCAGAAATACTTCGGTTGCTAGAATCCAAGTAAGTTATTGATTTCATAACTTTAGCAAAGGTATATATATCCTAAATGGCTAAACATTGTGCTATATACGTGGCATATTTCTCTCTGATTGAAGCGTGCAGTTATATCACATAGAAATAGTTTTCCAGAGAGTTTATGTCAAGTTACACTTCTCTCCCTATAGTACACCACCATAATTACTGAATATTATCTTTTTTGGCAATATATATCAATCATGTGAAGAAAAAATATTTCATTATTGTCTAAATTTATATCTTAATTTCGTTTCTCTTGTTACCAGCAAATATGAACACTATCTGTCTTTTTTTTCCTGCGAATTTTATAGTCCTATCTTTGGGTCATTGATAATATTGAGAATGAGTATTCTTAATTAAAGGGCTTTAAATATTGAATGGGAAATAGGACTACGAAGCTTTAAGTGAAATACCTAAGGCAATGCACATCTCAACTAATTTGTCATATATACTGAATAAATCATTATTTCATTCCTCAAATTTATAAAGTAGAATAAATTGATGTATGAAAGAAAAAGCACAGTAGTTCAAATAATTTAATATGCAAGAGGACAATACAGCTTTTCTTAAGGAATTTTTCTTAGCATTTCATTATGTCACCCCAAAATATGGTATTTTACAGGTACAATATCACACTAGTGGAGAGATGCTGCAGTGAGTCGTTGAAACTCTTTGGATGTACAGAGTGTTACGTGGTGGTGACAGTTGATGAACACACTGCCATAATTTTGCAGGTAAAATTATATAGTAAAGAATATAAATTAAATATAGTACAGGGGCGCCTGGGTGGCTCAGTCGTTAAGCGTCTGCCTTCGGCTCAGGTCATGATCCCAGGGTCCTGGGATTGAGCCC